ACATTGAGGGTCTTGGTCCTGATCAATTTGTGAGTTATGCAATTCTTCCGAAACTATGTTTTTACTTTACCTATTCACTACCCCGTATACCCCTGTCTCGCATCATCTTAATACTTTTTTATCTTGTTTTGCGTTTTATTTCCCTCGGGTTATTATTCCCATGTCACTTCCAGAACTACAATATGGCATTATTGAATTATATCCCAACACCCCATGTTCCACCCCAGCCTGCATCACAATTGCTTCCCCTTCTGGAATACATAGGCGAAGTCCATTAAACTAACGGAGACTATCAGGTTGTCCATAATCCCGGTGCTGTCCCTGATTCTCGGTACTTGGCAACGGCCGACTCAACAGTTGTGTTCGAAGCTGCCTACACTACTTTCCAGGAACGGCAAGGCGCCAAACTGTTCACCAATATCGCGGACAGCAACCGTACCCAACTTTGTGCCATCGTTCACTCTGTGCCTGAATCTGTTGAGGGCACGGAGCTTCGCAGTCTGGTCAAGCAGGTGCGGAAGGTCGCGGATGAGGTGTACATCACCCATCTTAGCACAGACTACTATGCCTCCTTTGGAGCCAAATGGATCGAGTTTGTCGATCTGATGGCAGCTTAGGGGTTTAAATCTTTGTTCTCGGATTACTCGCTTGAGTATGATGTGTACAGGTGAGGTAAATTGGGTCAAGCAAGTATGTGCATATTCTTGGTATAGCAGCATGTTTTGACTCATCTGGTTTAATGATTCTACGAGTTGATTTTTAGACTATTTTTTAGTCCATCTAAATTTTCATGATTTGCGGCATAGACTGGAATGAAAAATTTTCTCTTTCGCCTCCTATCCCTTCAATGTACAATCGTAGGCCGTCTTTGTTAGAGGTGAGCTATACTTTTTAGGTCAAAAATAAAGTGGAGAACACGTGTATTGTGGTAATTTACGTCCGGTCTTTTTTCTTTTCGTATGCTGTATTTTTGCATGCCAAGAAATAAGTTACACCGATACATCAAGGATATGATACATAGTACCACTAGGTCCCAAAGTGCATCTATTCCACTAATGGAAGTGCTCCGTATGTACTCCGAACCTATAAATTGGAACATGCGGCAAAGCAAAAGTATGGTTGGTTTGTGGAGCAGAGGGATATATCTAGAACTGGAGAGTGGGTTATGCAGTTGTAGGGCATCCGCTCGATACGAGGTATAAGCTAAACGTGGCTTAACCGAAACTTCAGTGCAGATATAGAAAATACCCAAACACCTTCCTTTCCTGGGTCTCAACCCAAACCAGCCTTCTTCCCAGTGTCTCCGAGTTACCGATATCCGATCGATCTATGAGACCTGCAGATAGCGTCCTGTAGGCCCACAGCCAATGCCATCTCAAGGCTCGGAGGTACTCTCAAAATAACACTGCAGGATTGGCGCTAGAAAATCTTGGCAGAGGATACCACACAGCCACTGTTTTAACTAAGCGATGGACATCATCCTTTATTCAAGACTGGGGCACGGAGTATATTCAACTGGAACATCTTGAGACAGAGTCTAAATTACTATAGTAAGCCACGTACTCAGCTAAAGTATGTTCCAGGTCTCGGATAGTGTAAATAATCAAAGACCGAAACAGCAGCATGAGACATGACTTTGACAACACCTTCGGGTATTGACATTTACTATTGGGGTAGGTCATGGCTGTACTCCGTACATAATGTCCAAAGTCAGCTTCCCCCGATACAACGCTGCATTGGAACAGGAACAATGCACAGAGTATGCATGGAGGTTTAACGTGGTGCAAGTGCCGCTGTGCCGAGTTACAAACCCGACTTGTCCCATTCCAACGGAGTCATATTCCAGGAACCAGGCCAGCGTGGGATGTTGTTCCACGAGACTAACGCACAGCTGGCAATTTCAATGAACCTTTCACGTGTACCCCGTCCCCCGGTCCCGGGTACAATACAAAATGCCACAGTTGCGGGCAATATTGATGCTTTGCCTAGAGATGATTTTGTATGCATCTTCCGGCTCTGACGGACCGGGTTCCTCCCTGTTAACTGGCTGCAAGGTGTAGTTTGGGGGAACCCTCTACCGCCTCACCCATGTTCTTCGGCTTATGCGTATGTATGTTGCACTAGTATCTGTGACTCGGGTTATACCCCTGGAATTGACCGCCGGTGGCGGGAGCCACTACCTCGTGGCATGGCCGGGTATTTCGGGAGGAAGAGATTTTTGATCTACATCTTGGCTCCAGTCACCTCTGGTAGCCGCCGGGGAGAGCTGGACCAATACAGCAGGAGTATCGTCAATCATTCCTGTCATGCATCGCTGATTCGACTCCATTATTGCAGGAGCTTCAGCTAAACGAACTTGACTTCTTACGGACAAAAACTAGTCGATCGCAGTCGATCGCTGGGACAGTACATGGCGAAAGCGCTAATAGGATAAGTGCCAAAGATCGGCGTTTGGAGGAAATAACGATGGACGCCGGGATGGGAGTTTTGGTGCACGATCAGCTGCGAACATGCATAGGTGAGCACGTCTAGATCCGATCAAATGGCGAACGGTTCTCTGCGCCTGCATCTATGTTCGAGGTTCGGTTCGCATGGCATGGGCCATGCAGCCTTTTAAAAAGCCACCGATTCAAATCGGGCATTCTGATCAAGGTTATTCACGCCCGTTTTGGTCAATCATGGGTCATAGACAGCCCAGCCTTGAATTCTCACTTGGTATGATCATCATTAGATTGGGTCAGTCTCCTAAGTGACACACCATCCTCTCGCTTCGGGTTAGTCTCTGCCATAGGAACCTGGGCTGTTGTGCAGAGATTTATACCGAAGCGAACATAAACCCAAACAAGTGGAGGGAGCACGTAGCCAGCCACTGAGGGCCCAAACCACTTTTTTTGGCCAGGAACCGGGGCAGATCTCGGGAGAGCCACTCGGGCAGCCGATCTTAGCGCCCTTCCATCCCTTGGGTCTTTGCTTTTTGTGACCACGCGAGGCGGGCAGTTTCCATGGTTCGCTTGTAATCGGTAGGTAGGCGGGTATAGCACGTGGCTATGGACGAATTGGAGCCGAAAGCAGGGAAGCAGAGAGGAAAAAAACAAACCCAAAGTGCGATTTCGGTCGGAAGTGAGCCTCGGTGACTTGAAATACGAAGTCCTCCCGTGTTCACCGGTCTTTGTATCGAGATGGGCCGTGAGACACGCAAAATTTTTTCATATGATGAAACCGGGTCGAACTATGGTGTTGATCTCGGGAAGAGAAGAACCTCTAGACTCTGACTATATCCGGACTTTTTTTTTTACACAAGTGCAATATGGTAAGAAATGGCACGGAGTACTCTGTACTCCGTACAACATACCTATCTCGGTAAGTAACATAAGTTAACACACTCTGTGTGACTTCGGTTTTCAGCCCCAGGGTTATGCAAGGGCGATGCTATTTCATGCTCCCATTAGGATTTATGATATATCAATGGAACATCAGCAAGCATACTATTATTGGCGGAAAAATAAACTCAAGGCCTGAGCGATTTACGTCCGTACCTGACAGAGGATATGTAAAATACATTAAATACCAGCTTGACTTGTCTGTATGTAATAAAATATCCAAACATACTGCAAAAATACCTCCAGCACACGTGTGATGAGTAAAGTTACCGGATGAACCCGAAAGGAATTAACCGAGTATTCCATGGATGAACTCTCGAACCTAACCAATCAGACTAGCAAAGACCCCAGTTTCGATCCGCTGCTCCAATGCATATGCCAAGACTGCCAAGACCAACGAAACACTGTCTGTCACTGATCAACATTACCTTTAGGAAACTGATGTCCCCGTCTTCTTAGCCCCGCTCATCACGCTATAACTACTGCGTACTCATTCTTTCATTGAGGCCACTTGAGTAATGAGAGCGTATCAGTAATTGAGTAATTGCTTTGTTCTACGGAGTACTCCAAGGTTAGGTACAAAGAAGTAGTCTATAATTATACTTACGGTGGCAACATGCAAGAGAGAATGGACAAGGGTCAAGTTCTGTAAACTCAACTGGTTTGACGTGTATCGGGATATTTTTTCAAGCCTAGGCCAAGTAAACTATAAGCGAGGTCAAATACCTTGCAAGTAAAAAGCAAAAAAAGCAGCTATTGCCGGATGGCTGACCCGGCACAAAATCCAGGCCTTAAGCAAACTACACCCAATTTCCCCGTCACATCACACCAGGAGCAAATTGGGCACACGGAAGTCTCGGGCAACTAGCGTCTGTAGTCGCAGCCACTATGGACTCTAGTCTATGCATAAAAATGCGCTAGAAACACGAATTGTTTGCGCCGACGATGGCGCTGATAATAATTGCTCTGCGATGAGCTCGTCATTTAAGCTGACATTTGTGCCAGAGCCAACTTATGATGTGCGCTTCAAATAAGCTGCTTTGGCAGGGTAGGTGACCACAGACTGAAGCACGACACATACGGAGTACGACACATACCTAAGGTGTCGAGCGACTGTTTAAGGCTAGTGGGCTCAGACTCTGGCAGAAAATGGCGATAATGTCCTCGCAATAACTAGGTTTAACTATTGTACGGAGTAATGAGTGCGCTGTGTTATCCTCACGGCATTTTCGTTTTTGCTTCTTTGGGGTTGGGGGTTGTTGTACTCCGTACCGTGATCCTGCGTCCCACTGAAGGTAATTGGAGCCGAAGGCGTGATTTTTTGATGGCTTTGATAAATTAGGCACCGAGGAAAAGTTGTGCTTTGCAAAGTGCCAAGTTCTGACAATGACGAGTGCGTTCCTGCTTTGATACGTATTTAGGCGTCATGCACTTCGTAGCGACTTGCCAATTTACATATTCTGAGCTTCTGGCCCCAATCAACATATGGCGTTCAAAAACAATGGAAGAAAAGAAGTCATGGATGATGGCGTCGAAAATATCACGTCTTATTATTATTTATACATGCAAAGTCAAACCCAGATTAGATAGGACGAGCCCACCTTAAGCATATAACTGCAATCATGGGCAGTATTCAACCCAAGTATCCAAGTCCATGTTTTTGATAACAGTTGAAAAGTTGCCAGCGCCGTTGGCGGTACATGCAGAGCTCGCCTGCTTGGTCGTGACAGCCTTGTTATTGTTGGTGTCTTCGCCCTTGGGGTACTCGATGTGGAAGACAGGCTTGCCCGCCTCAATGAAGGGCGCATAGGTATCACACTCATCGTACTCAGCACACTGCTCATTGACACACCACTGCATGTTATCAATGACAGATTCAATAATGTCTCCGCCATTCTTCAATCCAACCGAGAGGCCGCGGCTGTGAGACTGGGAAGCAAGCCAGTTCACGTAGCTTATAGCATCAGCCCTAGTGATATCAACTCCGGGTTTGTTTTCGTATCCGTCGATGTTGTCAGGATCGACACCGTCGCATCCCTTGGTCACGGCGATATCGAGACGCGCCTGCATAATCTTGCGCACTTTGGGGGACTTGACGTTCAGCCATTTCTCGCCGGGCCATCCGTCGAGATCATTGCCCTTATCTTCGTCGTCGAACTGGCTAGCGTCATCGCGCCAGTCCTCAAACGAGCCGGCAGAGAAATAGCAGATCACTTTGCGGCCCATTTTCTGGAGATCCGAGATGACGGTTTTGTTGTTGTCGAAAAGATCGATGTCGTAGATTGATGCGTCCACCGAGGTGGAGATCTGATTGTTCTCCAGCTCGGACTTCAAGATAATCTGCCACTTGGTGCCAGCGGCTGGCTGCCATTTCGCGGTAGTGTTTGTCGGTGTTGTGGTATTTGTTGGCGTTGTTGTGTCGGGACCGGTGCCCTCATTGTCGTTATCGTCATTGTCTCCGTCGTTTTTGAGACCAATTCCCAGACCGGCACCTAGACCGACACCCAGAGCGACGATGACGAGAGCGACGGTTCCAAAGATAAGAACCTTCTTCTTGGTCGACCAAGCCCACCAGCCTGTCTTGGATGACTGTTCACCCATTAGGGCGGATTGTGAAGTGAGATCAAGCGTGGTAACCCAAATCCTGGGGTATGTGTATTAAATGAAAGAGAGTATGGGGTAGCCCAAGGGAGTAACAAAAAAAATTGAAAGAGAGATGAAAAGATCAGCAGGCACTAAACCGGGAGATAGGCGTCTTTAAGCTCAAAATAAGGGCCCAGAGCGCAGGTCCACCAGGGAGGGAGATCTACGGAAAGAACTGGATGTGACCCTAGAAAAAGCAAAGCTCTTGAGATAACTCGTTTCAGACCCTGAAAATAGTCTAAAGAGTAAGGTAGACAAGAGTTCACGGCGCGTAGAAAATGAGGATGCCTAGCGGTGGGAAAGAGCCCCCACTTGGAAAAGTCCAAAGAAAATAAGGTGGTGGACCTCCCGAGGTCGGGAACCTGCTGATCTTGGTAATTTGATTATCTTGGCTGATATTGATATATTCAATTATCTATGTACTGAGTCACTCCGTATATTAGAACATAGAGGCAATGAGAATAGGAATTCAGGGGTTGAACAGTTTGCCAAGAGAGATAATTTTCGCGTTCATATTCTTAGTAATTTGTCACCCAAAATAGGCAGAAATTTGGTACTCCATATTCTGAATTGGGGATTTGCCAAAGTGGATTTCAAATTCACAAAAACAGGAGGGAAATCGAAAATTTTCATCAATGTATTTGGAACATTGCCAATAACCTAAAAAGATGTGTTGGCAAGCGCCTTAAGGAACTCCCACAGTCTAGAGCATCGGATTTTTTTAGCTGTCACAACTATGGTATTGTTGTATTATATTTTCGTAATTACCATGAAATCCTAAAAAGCGTTTTTGCAAACCAGAGGAACTTCCCAAATGCCGGTATTCTCCTAGCCCTAACAAACCGGCTTTTGTCATCCTAAATCCATTTGAAATGATGATCAGTCACTTTAAAAACCCTCCAAGTTATTTGTCGGGTCCTGGTCGAGGACAAGGATACCCATCATCTGATTCCTTGAAATCTTCTCTAGATGACGCTTATGTGCAGATCGAGTTTAATGACATTTAAATTAAATATTTGCACCTATAATTTTTGATCTCACTGTTACTACTCCGTACGGAGTACTATTGTTATTACCACTGTCACTGTTACTGTTACTTTTGTGAATTAAATGCTCTGAGCCTACTCCGTACATGACTCGCCCTATCCACAGCCAAGACGCTAAAATAAACTACTAGAGAAACGCTAAACCCGATGGCGCTACTCCAAGATAACCCAATCGCCTGATTCTTCCCGCAAAAGTGGACGCCACACCCGCTAACCGATATAGGTCCACAAGGCCGGGCAATTACAAATCTGACTCTAAACGACATCGTCTCGGGTTTTTTCCCCGAAGGATTTGAAGAGCTCGAGCCTATGCCAAGATCGCGCTTAACAGATTCCAAGGCTCACTGTTTGACACACCTCACGCTTGACCCGTTTGATAACTTTTGATTCAGATAGGTGTTTCGCCTAGAATGCACGCTAACAGGTTTTTCCTTCTAGCTCATTCTACAATCTCGTATTTGTCCCCGACACCTGCCGCTGCGGGGGACAATAATAAAAAAGAGAAAAAACGCCACAGTAGCAGAAGTCAGACTAAGCTCCAAACCCCGAACTCAACCCCGGCCGCAGTCTTACATGGCATGCATTCTACATAACCAGGTACGAACGCATTAAATCCGAGGCCGAGTGGCTTTAATGCCCAGGAGTCTAGTCCAGCGGAGGGCCCGGACATGGTGCCATTTTACGCCCGTGATTCCAAATTTAACCTTGAGCCTCCTTGTCTCTGATTCAATTGACCAGTTTGATGCAGTCGCTGCATGAGAAACCACCGTATACATGCTTCCCCGCTGTAGGCCTGGAACCAGATCTCGGGGCTGGATTGCATTGCCCTATGCACCCTGCAGGTAGAGGGTATACGTCGTATCTCAGACATTTACAGCAGCCCTTGTTGTAATTGCATATACGCTACCTCCACAGGTCTCCCGCTTCTGAGACACGATCAATAATCTCCGAGTTACTTGGTACAAGATTGATTTTGCCCTGGTGGCGGTTCTTGCGTGGCATGATGTAATAAAGTGCGATGTTGAGACATGTTAGGCCCTAAAATCGCTGCCCAGATTTTGCTTTCGTTCTTGGCCTACTCCGTACTCCGGAGCAAACGATATCAACCACGTTTGGCTTAGTCTCTCTCATCGGTAGAAATAAACGGAATTCTTTTTGTTTTTGGTTACATGACTCGATGTAATGTGCTGGATTTGCTGTCCGCCGCCTTGCACCGGATCAGTCGGGAAATAGCGCCCCTTGGCTCGTACGCATTATTATCTACATAGTCACCTCGAACCTACATCGTCAAATTGCGGACATCGTCCCGCTCCACCCCGGGGTCAGACCGCCAAATGACATGTCCGAGGGTATTATCGAGAATACGAGGAGTTATTCTTGCTAGGTGGAGGCTATTCAGCATTCCGTACAGACTTAGCCTTGATCATGTTATTGCGTTGGTATGGATAAATGAAGATCATTCAGAAAGAATCATTGTATATTAACGTATAATTATACTTGAACTTTCTATACATTAGAAAATATTGGACATTCAATCTTCGTATCAACAGAAAAGTAAGAGTTGTGTTTTCCTTCACATATATAGAAACCATTATTGACATCTAAGAGAGATATCCACAAGTTATAATGAAAGTTATGAGTAATCAACAGAACCCGAAAAGTATATCGACCTACCAAATGAAGGCAAGTCAATCCTCTTTTCAGCCTCTTAAAGGGAAATGGGGGTGGAAAGAGTGAATGTGACAGGGGAGCCAGCGAGCTTGACCCAGACGGTAAGGGGGTCAGCACCTAGCTGCTCAGTGGCGAAGCCCTGGGTGCTGGTAGGAGCAACAGGGAATGTCACCGGGATAGGGTCAGTACAGGTATTGCCAGTCGCGGAGACAGTGACGGCAGTGATCTTTCCGTTGCCTGTAGCGTAGCTCAGGGAGTAGCCACACTTGTCACGGTTGAAACGGGCAAGGAAGGAAGCGGACATCTATGAGGAGTCAGCACATGAACTTGAGGTTGTAGTGTGTTAAATTGGATTTATCTTACCTCCTGGTGGGTGAGTGTGACAATGGGCCATTCAGCCAGGCGAACGAACTCCTGGACCTGGGTTTCCACCCAGGCTTGCATGATGGAGTACTTGGCAGAGACACCGTTGATGGTGATCGGATCAACATCAATGTTGCGAAGGTTGGCCTGATGGAACATGTAACCATCGTGGTAGAGGCCGAAGAGGTGACGCATGGTCTCAGCCTTCTCAATGTCTAGGAGGTCCTGGAAGTTACCGGAACCAGCAGAGGTGGCAATCCATTCTGCTACGGTACAGGCAGGAGTATCGCAGTTATAGTAGATGCGGGAGGCCCATCGAGGGTTGATCTGGATTCCATCGAAACCATTGGCGGCAGCAGTGGTGAAGAGAGGCCACATGGCATTCGCCTTGTTCAGAAGGGCAGGGCGGGTGTTATCACCAACACAGTTGGTGATTCCGTTCTCCCACCAGGCCCGGAGAGCATCGCCATTGTGCAGACCAGTGATTGCAGGAGGAATGATACCGTTGGAAGTGAACTTGGTGGCCTTGTCGATACCGACAGCCTTAAGCCAAGCCTGGTTGAAGCTGATCTCCTTGAATACATCGCTGTAGGTGGCATTATCCTGCTCCTCGTGGGTGAAGGTGTGCGAAATGTGGCCGAATTTGTTGAGGTTGCTTTCGGTGGTCCACCAGGCTAGGAGCTCATCCATGGCCGTGCAAGTAGCAGTCCAGTCGTAAGTGGTGGGCTCCGCAGGCCACAGGTCAGTGCCAGTTCCAAGAGGTTTGACCCATTCGAGAGGAGTGTCAAGAGGCGAGTCATATTCGATAGCAGCTCCACAAGCATCCCAGCCAGAATCCGAGGTATCGGAAGAGTTCTCGATGTTTCCGTTACCATTGTGGCCGACTTCGACGAAGTAAGAACTGCCGGCGGGCATCTTGGCATTGATCGCATCAGTCCAGGTGGCAATATTGCTCAAATCCTGGGCACGAATACGGAAGTTGTTACCAGCGGGTGAGTAAATTTCAGTCTCGAGGAACATGTCATCAATCTGGGTGTTCAGGTTGACACGGCGGTATCCGGCGTGCAGACCGCGGGTGATCCAGGTAATCCATGCGTGCTGCAGGTAGCTGGAGGTAGAACTCCAGGTAGTGTCGAAACCAATGAAGAAGGCCATCTGCTGACGGCCATCGAAGTTGTTAATCACACCAGCGACACTCTCGGTAGGGAAGCCGGTGGTGGGGGCAAATGCGGCGATCTTCTTGGTAGAGGTAGTGTCGCTGATAGTCGCGGGGTAGTGCCACAGACCACTGGTGCTGACGCCTGCGCCAGTCTTCAATCCAGATGTCGGGAAATCACTGGTATCGGTGAATGAGACAAGTTGCTCAACACCGTTGTCACAGCATCCGCCGATAGCAGATGCACCATATTTAGGACCTGGGTAGACATCATATTGGACCATACGGACACCATATTCAAGCTGGTAGGCATAGAGCTGGGTCCACTGATCAGTGGTCAGGGCACTCTGGAAGCCCTTATCACCACCATAGTCATAGCTGACTTCAGCGGCAACGACAATACCGCCGAAGTTTCCTCCGGCAGTGCCATTGAGGTCGGGAAGAGCGACACCAGCGGAGGGAACAATCAGGGTGGTAAATGGAATACCGTATCCGTTGAGGCCAGAGCTGGCCACACCTGCAGAGGCAGCATCTCTGGCAATGACCAGAATGTCGGCTGCAACAGCAGCGTTGTTGAGCGGGGTAGCAGAGGCAGAAGCCGAGGCCGAAATGGCGGAGGACGACATTCTCGGAGTAGTCACAGAAGCACTTGTGGAAACAGCAGAAGACGAAACGACCGAAGAGATAGCACTTGAAGCGCGTGAGGAAGAAGTCGAACTGCTAGAAACAGCGGACGAGGTGCGAGAGCTGACCGAAGAACTTCCGGAAGACAAAAGAGTAGAGCTAGAAGCGGAGCCTGATGAAACAGACGAAGATCCACTCTGGGTAAGGATGCTGGAAGAACCGGATGGGACAGTGACGGTGACTGATCCCGAAGCTGATCCGGTTGGGATTGGGCCCGAGGTGAATGTAACGAAGGTGGATGCCGCAGAACTGCTTGGTGCAACTGTGCCCGAAGAACCGCTAATAAGGGTAGAGGACAGAGACACAGAGATAGAGGCAGAGGCAGTCAACGAGTGTGTAGAAGTAACGATCGTAGTGGAGCTCACTCCAGAACTGCCGGGGATAGAAGGAGTCGAGACCGGAGGGTGATAGGCGATGACAGTCGGCGTATTCTCAGGCCAAACACCTGGGGCAGTGTCGCATGTTATAAAGGCGTAGTAGCAGGCGACCTTCAAGGCCCAGACTGGCACGGCAACCATGGCGATCTTGACCAAGTTCTCGATAGGGCAGGTCACACACTATGCAGGTATGCACTAGCTAGGAAAAATACAGGTACGGAATATTTTGAACGAATGACTTAGCTTACGTCTACCCACAAGTGCATGATCATCGTCTTTATAGATAAAACATTTGTAGAGTAGGTAGACCTATCGCCTTTTGTTTCTCCATATGTAGCCAAGTTAATTTCGGGGATCTCGAATCTAAAATAAAATAAAAACACAGTTTATACAGGTCTCCATGTGGCGTTGACTGGTTTCAAGGTCTCAGATCGGATTTGAAAAAAGGATATACTGCGTTGGCCAATCTTGCTAGGTATATCATTGGTCAATCAACAATTGATCTTGGCAGGGCGAGAGAAATCTCCTTTTTTTTTTTTTTTTTTGCTTTTAAACATAAATTTAAAAAAAGAATAAAGCTAGGCAATTGATTTAAGCGAGACATGAAGAACGCCATTACAAGGGTTAAAAGCTCCGACGCAAAGGCCTCTCGTATAAACAGTTGGGGTTACAGGGGAAACACTCTAGAACTTGTGGGGAACAGGGAACATTTTGAATGTCTTAGTCCAAATACGTAATACATGGTATTTCGAAGGATATTTTTGTATTTACTCGTTTGCAAATACCTGGTAATTTTCACTTACCTGTACGTCTCTTTTCGGTTCTCGGTTTCATTATCTTGTATTTTCATTTTTCATTTTTTCTTTTCTCTTTTTTCTTTTTTTCTGAATTATTTTTATCTTTGCCAAGATCTCGAGTCTTGCAGAATGATATGATGCTTCTAGCCCGTAACTGCGTCCTTTAGCTTTGAAAAGCTACCTAGGCGAAATCCAACCCATACATCTTGAGACATGTATGGAGTACTCCGTATTGATATGATACATATCTTCATTGGAATCAGATATCGGGATATTAATTGCCACGATATGAATCGCACGGTTGTGCCACACATGGCATCTCCTATAGAATATCCTTGACTCCACCAGGTCTCATCGGTCAGGCCTGATGCACTAGTGGCTTCTTTAGTCTTGCATCTAAGAAAAACTGGAGTGTACTATTTTAGCTGTTTTGGCCCCGTGAGTTTGAGATCTCTGCTTCAATTAGACGCCCATGTACCCTTTGTCCTAAACGGTCCAAAACAGGCGAAGCTACTCTGGAAATTCTTTTTCATTTTTTTCCCCACCCCCTGGCAACTGAACAAGGGAAATCCTAGGAGGCAAAATCGCCTGCTTTACTTATGCGCTTTGGAGAAGTGGGTATTCACTTTAGTCCCCCCCACTACTCTCCTACCTTATCACCTTGTCAACACTTGAGCTCCCCTTTGCTCTCCATTTTTTTATTTTACACATCTTTGGCATTTTGCAGAACAGGGAGAAGTCACTCGTTTAAGCATGTCACTATAAGCATTTTACATTCGAAGAAGTCTCATCTCTACTTGGCAACAGGTTATCCTAACCTTGTGCTTCTTATATTGGGCCCAAAGACATATCAAGTCGAGGACTCAAAATCTCGACACAATGACGACAGTAGAAGCTCTCCCAGTCAGGCCACATCCTCTTGGCTGGGCTTATATGAGAGAATATTGGTGGCAATTTGTATGTTGATTCCGGTCCTCTTTACAACTTGACGTTCAACACTCTCGTTTGCAGACAGAGAGCACCAAGATATACTGACCATTTCCCTAGGTTTTCATTGGAGTGTTGCTATTCACAGTCACCGTTGGCTCTGTGTCAATTATATACTCTGGAATAAAAAGACTTATCAAATACTACAAGGTATGATATGGCGGCCACCAACGAGCTGTTCTCTAGTTTGGATGTTAATTCCGGCCTATATTTAGTCGAGACCACCACCAGACAATGTACCTTCGAGTGTATCCAAACGTCTCATCAAACTAGCCAACCGAGAACTCAACTTAGTCGACAGACATCCGCGCAAGGGGAAGCCCGCGAGCTTCGGAGTCTACTTGGGAAGCTTCGAAAACCCACCCACTGTCTCGCAAGAAAGACTCTTGCAAGAATGGGATGTCTTGATTGTGGATCCCTTCCAGGCAGGTGTCGCCAAGGCTATTTCTAGACACGAGCGCAGCCAAATACTAGGACGTGTTGATCTTGGGAAACTCCTTCCCCCAAAGGCCTCGGCCTTGACCGTCATTGAGAAGATTGAGGAATTGCTCGCAAGCGGATTTCATGATACTGCATTTTCCGGTGTTCTCCTTGCGAATTGGGAAGATGTGCTCCGTCCTACCGCTCGGAGAAAGCTTCTCGAGACCATCAGCACTCTTGGCCTGGCAGTTTATCTCGAGTCGGAGCCACCGCATTTCTTGAAGGATCGAAAGGCCGTACAGAGCGATGCCGTGGCGGGTTTGGTCATTCGAAATGCTAGCATCATGTCTGAGGGCGAGAAGCGGGATTATTTCCAAATGGCCGAACTACAAGCAACAATCAAGGCGTTTGTTTCTGAGTCTTGCATGAGAGACTTTGTAGTAATGGCCTGGGAAACCGTTGACAACAACGTCACTGTTCCCAATGCCATAGTCCGCAGATCTATCCAATGGTGCAGCTTTTACAGCGCAATTACCTGGATCGGCCCCGAAGCTGCTCTTCACGATGCAGACCTGAACGTCACCACTCTCGAACCTCTTCCCGCGTTTGGTTGGTTGAAGGAGGCAGAAATGATGAAGGCCCACGATACCTGGCGTGCCAACCTGAACATATTGCCTTCCCCGGATAACAAGGCTGGCTGGGACATTCTCAAGCCACTTTTCCCTGCTATTGATGCGCTACTAAATTCATTGGAATACGATTCCAAGGCTCCTGATAGCCCGACTGCTCGACTGCGTGATCCTCCAGAATGGGTCGCACAGGTCAAGTCACAGGGCAGTCCTCTCTCTATCTCCATGTCAGGGATGGCCTACAATTCGCTTGGTTGTTTCCCTCTCGGTTCAGACTCGACTCCACTGGCATTTGCAGAAATTGTCCAATCCCAACAACGTCTCAAGTCTCTCAACCTTCTTCATCCCGTCCCGACAACTAAAATCCAAAGCATTGGACTTCTTCTGCGTCAATTCCATGACTCTCTGGATATCTCCGAGGATGACGATCATTTGGCCACCACAATCAAGGAACTTGCGAATTGGGCATCCAACGATCTATTGCACGTGAATCTCTGTCTCGACTCTGGTCTACGCAAGAGCTCTGATCTCCGCTTTTGGGCCGTTTTTGATATGGAACGTGATGGTATTGAAATTTATGTATCCAAGAATGCCCAAGGCCTGGCTGGAACTATTCTTCACACCTTCCTCTCGGCAAAGGGATTCCCCCGACATGTTTGCTTCGAGGCTGAGGCGACCTTCGCGACTTGGTCTCAAGATGTTTCCCACGATACTGGCCTCCCCCGTCGGCTGATTCAAGATATCGATGTTCTCAGTCCTGAAGAGCGCCTCCTTCTTTTGCAGCACCTCTATCTGACCGATTCGCATAGCGAGCTATCTGAAGCCATCTGCACCTACATTCGCAAGCAACTGGTGGATGCCCCTTCTTTTGCTCAGTTGAAAGCGCTCAATACGGTTGGGTATCTTGAGAAATCTACCTCTCCCGAGGATCTGATCAGGTCTCGTATCAACTGGTACCTGGACCAAGGATGCAAATACCCGTCTCTCGATGTCTGTCTGGATCTTTTCCATGAGGCTGACAGTGTACTCTCCGATGTTTTGAGGTATCGCCGCGAGGATGACCTCGCCGCCATTACTAGTGGTCTCTGCGCGCTCCTTCAAGGTGGCTCCGTTGACACGTACGTGGATATGATGGCTCTTGCTCTTTTCTGTGCCGCAAGACAGGGAGCTTTCGATGAGATTTACGCAGAAGTGACCGATCGGAATCCCCTATTTAACAACCATACTGATCAGGCTGCCGCCTTCGCGGAGTCATTTGCCCTCGGATCGCGATGTGAAGCTTACTTTGACGTGTCTCCCAGCGTTTTCGGCAAGTTGCTATCTGACCGGTTCAGAGCTTACTATGGAGACCACCAGCCGCCGAACTGGGTGAACGGTGCTCCGCAGCTCGCTACCTCCTACGCCGGAGCTCAGATTGATGTCAATCCTGATGAGCAGCCTAAGTCTATGCCTGGATACCAGCGATTCACATTCCTGAGTGTCTTTGCCATTCCGGCTTTGATTGATATTATCTTGCTTACCCTGATTGGCCGCGGACTCTATCTCTCTGCTGCCATGTCTCACGAGGAACAGGACAGTGCAACTATGGCACTGATGATCTCTCTGCTGCTTTCCGGTGCAATTGGTACATGGATTGCATGCGGTGGACCGTACTATCTCATTTCGATGGCCTTCGCAGCAGCGAACATGTTCGTTCTTATTCGCCTGATCGCTGGTATTGCATTTACTGTGGCCGGTGGCTTGATCGGCTTTGTTGCTATTTCAAGTGTTCGAGGCCCTCACGCCGGTATCATCTTCTATCTCTACCTGATCGCTCTGACAATCTACTTCTCGACTTTCGCCTCGCTTGCAAGCTTCAGTTATCCCGGCTCGAGCTTTTTGTCCGGTCGGAAGCCAATTATCATGTGCATTCCGATCCTCTTCTTGTCGCCGATCATCACGGCCTGGACTGGCCACGACTCGGCTGTCTATCTCGCTGTTATCTACCTCTTCATTGGTGTGCTCTTGCTCTGCCTTCGTTCGGTTACTTCCAAATGGGTCACTTGGTACCAATCCGTGCGACGCACCGACGATACTGAGATCCGCAAGTGGTATATCACTGTCTATGGAAATGATGATGAGAAAGTGTTCGCGAACATGAGCGACCCAGCAGCCCTTAAGCTGGCGAGAGAAGCCCTATTGAAGGACGTCTTGGCTGAGACAAAACGTGGCATGTTTTCAAAAGCATCTAAAGATAAAATGGTCGTTGAGCTTGCCGGGGATTGGGAGTCTACCAATTTTCTTCTCGACTGGTACTGTCGCCATGCAG